TTTTTTTTCTGCCCCTTTCCCCTCAACATAAAGCCAGATATTTATAGTTATGTCATAGGCATTAATGGAATCAACTTAGCAATTATTGAATTTAAACAAATATATGTCAAACACAACCAAATCATTAAAATACAAGATGCCCGACACATAGTAGAGATAGGTTGGAATATTAGTTATACATATTAATTTAACACTTAATTATAACAATTCTAACAAGAAATTAATCTCTTAGGAAATTTCTGAAGCATTTATTAGCATCTTCCCCAATTTTGTCCAAATCTGTAAACCCAAAAACACCAATGTTGATGAAATTATTCATGTTCACTTAGATTTATTTCCACCAATATGCAAATCAACCTGCATAGTGAATACGTAGTAATTAAGCACCACCACATAACCTACAAGCGCAATATTACCAGTAGACATGCCTGGTTCTGAACCGGCCCGGATTTGTCGGTTCGTTGAACCGGAACCTTGGCAATGCGGGTCAGTTCTGGACCTTCATTGTTCTTTTTTGGTCCCGATGGTTTGGGCTGAGTCGGGTGAGGCTGCAGGATGGAAGACATTGTTGATTTTTTCAATAAATCGCAGGGTCGGCCGGGCTGTGAACCGGCCCGGCATTTGGCCACCTCCAGCTCAGCCTTACAGAACTTATCTTGCCATGTTTGTGTACTGATATGCCAGCTACAGATTTCAAAATTTATTTTTCAGCATATTTCTGTACTGATGTGCTAGCTACAGATTTCAACTTTATTATACAATACAAATACTTATACGATTGTTTGTTAAAATTTTATACTCATATTTAAAAAGTAATAGTACAATACCAATGTATTACATATGTGCTTGCAACTAAAAAATGTATACATAAATTCAAAAAGTATGCTTTAAATTTTAAATGTTTCTTTTTAAAATATATTTTTGTTAATCTATATCTATATCTATATCTATACTATTTTAAAAAGAGGAGTGTTTTTGTGAAAATTCATAATACCTAAAAAAACCCTTACTTTTTTGACATAAAAGGAGGAGTGTTTTTTGAAAAATTCAAAATGCCTAAAAAATCCTTACTTTGACATAAATTTAATGGCAAATTAGTAATACACTAATACACATCATATTTTATTTATATTCTTAATTAAAAAATGAACTACCTAAAAAACCCTTACTTTCACATGTTTTTAATGGCAAATTGGTAAAGCTAATGCCATCATATCTTATATCCTCCCTATATATAATTAAAAAAAAAAACATAACTTTTCTCAATTCAACATAAGTAAATCAATGAAAATAATATATTTTTAAGTATATTAAATAATATTTTAATTATATAATATTTTTAAAACAAGAAATATTTTAATTATATAATTTTTAATATGTAAGAAATGTAACTCAATTGATAAATTAATAGGTAATCTTGAGATAAAATAATGAGTGATTTCAGAAAAAAAAAAAAAAATTATAGGAACTAAAAAGTTCACTTGTTTAATATATTTTTAATAGAAAAATTTTAAACACAATTACTCAATAAATACTACATAAAAAATATAAGAAATCTTATATCCTCCCTATATATAATTAAAAAACATAACTTTTCTCAATTCAACATAAGCAAATCAATGGAAATAATATATTTTTAAAAATTTTATGAACAAAATTTGACTCGACAATATTATTAATGAATTTATGAATTGTAAATAGTTAATTAAAATATTAATAATTTTTTTTTTAATAAAATATAATATAATATAGGATATACAAATATTTGATATATAATGAGGCAGATGATCGGAAAAATTCTATACTTTATATTATGTCTTTTTTGACAAATCTACAGTTAAGAACATGAGAAAGAACAAGATTATAAAGTTTTAAAAAATATTAAATAAAAGAAATAATATGAATAATAACTAAGTTGTGACACGTACTAATAAATATAAACTAAACTAATAAACAAAAATAATATAATTAATATAACTAAATATAAACATTCTAAAAATATACTTATCGATGTAATCGAACTGAGTTGTTAAACGTTTGTTAGTTTTTTTAATATAATATATAAGTATCATATTGAACAGATAAAACAAAAAATATTTTAATTATATAATATTTAATATGTAAGAAATGTAACTCAATTGGTAAATTGATAGGTAATCTCGGGATAAAATAATATATGATTTCTAAAAAAAAATAAAATTATAGGAACTAAAAAGTTCACGTGTATAATTAATTTTTAATTGAAAATTTGTAAACACAATTATTCAATAAATACTACATAAAAAATATAAGAAATCTTATATCCTCCCTATAAATAATTAAAAAAACATAACTTTTTTCAATTCAACATAAGCAAATCAATAAAAATAATATATTTTTAAAAATTTTATGAACAAAAGTTGACTCGACAATATTATTAATGAATTTATGAATTGTAAATATTTAATTAAATTATTAATTAAAAAATTTTAATTAAATAATGTAATATATGATATACAAATATTTGATATATAATGAGGCAGATGATCGAAAAAATTCTATACTTTTTTTATGTGTTTTTTGACAAATCTACAATTAAGAACATGTGAAAGAACAAGATAAAATTTTAAAAATATATTAAATATAAGAAATAATATGAAAAATAACTCAGTTGTGACACGTACTAATAAATATAAAACAAACTAATAAACAAAAATAATAAAATTAATATAACTAAATATAAACCTTCTTAAAAATATACTTATCGATGTAATCGAACTGAGTTGTTAAACGCTTGTTAGTTTTTTGTTTTTATTAATTTTATGTGTAAATTTGAGGTGATAGACAATAGTTATTTGTACATTTATACAAATATATTAGAAAAAAAACTCTTTACTATTCTAATTTTAAATAACTTTTTTATTTACTATATTAGTTTTCTTTTTTTTTTTCCAAAACGATAGATATATTAGTTTTCTTAATATAATATATAAGTATTATATTGGAGAGATAAAACAAGAAATATTTTAATTATATAATATTTAATATGTAAGAATTGTAACTCAATTGGTAAATTAATAGGTAATCTTGGGATAAAATAATGAGTGATTTATGAAAAAAAAATTACATGAAATAAAAAGTTCACGTGTTTAATATATTTTTAATAGAAAAATTGTAAACATAATTACTCCATAAATACGACATAAAAAATATAAGAAATCTTATATCCTCCCTATATATAATTAAAAAATATAACTTTTTTCAATTCAACATAAGCAAATCAATGAAAATAATATATTTTTAAAAATTTTCTGAACAAAAGTTGACTCGACAATATTATTAATGAATTTATGAATTGTAAATATTTAATTAAATTATTAATAAAAAAATTGTAATTAAATAATATAATATAGGATATACAAATATTTGATATAATGAGACAGATGATCGAAAAAATTCTATACTTTATATTATGTGTTTTTTGACAAATCTACAGTTAAGAACATGTGAAAGAACAAGATAAAGTATTAAAAATATATTAAATATAAGAAATAATATGAAAAATAACTTAGTTGTGACACGTACTAATAAATATAAAACAAACTAATAAACAAAAAAAAAAATAATTAATATAACTAAATATAAACCTTCTAAAAATATACTTATTGATGTAATCGAACTGAGTTGTTAAACGCTTGTTAGTTTTTTGTTTTTATTAATTTTATGTGTAAATTTGAGGTGATAGACAATAGTTATTTGTACATTTATACATATATATTAGAAAAAAAAATCTTTACTATTCTAATTTTAAATAACTTTTTTATTTACTATATTAGTTTTCTTAATATAATATATAAGTATCATATTGAAGAGATAAAACAAGAAATATTTTAATTATATAATATTTAATATGTAAGAATTGTAACTCAATTGGTAAATTAATAGGTAATCCCAGATAAAATAATGAGTGATTTATGAAAAAAAATGCAGGAACTAAAAAGTTCACGTGTTTAATATATTTTTAATAGAAAAATTGTAAACACAATTACTCCATAAATACTACATAAAAAATATAAGAAATCTTATATCCTCCCTATATATAATTAAAAAAAATAACTTTTTTCAATTCAGCATAAGCAAATCAATGAAAATAATATATTTTTAAAAATGTTATGAACAAAAGTTGACTCGAAAATATTATTAATGAATTTATGAATTGTAAATATTTAATTAAATTATTAATTAAAAAAATGTAATTAAATAATATAATATAGGATATACAAATAATTGATATATAATGAGGCAGATGATCAAAAAAATTCTATACTTTATATTATGTGTTTTTTGACAAATCTACAGTTAAGAACATGTCAAAGAACAAGATAAAGTTTTAAAAATATATTAAATATAAGAAATAATATGAAAATTAACTC